TAAACTTTGGCCATATTAGTAGGTCGGCGAGCCGCAGCCTTGAGACCTGCCAGCAGAGCCTGGTGATAGACGAGGAGTCGCTCCCTACCTTCATCCATATTGTAGTCCCATGTTGGTTGGGTCTGGGGAAAATAGACAGCGATCTGAGCAGGATCCATGATGGGCGCTCCTGTGAGGCCAGGGATATGTTTCCGGGCCGCCTCTCGGATATGGTCTCTCTCTTTGGTGGTAAAAAGGACCTGCAAAAGCTGACTACAATCATCCCAAGTGGGCTGGTGAGTAAAGAGAATAGTTTCAAGCAAACTAATTAAATCCTGGGGTTTCTCAGAAAAGGGGCATTTTGGGTGCACCAATTGTATAGATCACTGGTAGAAAATGGCCAGTATTGGAATTGCTGTCGACCATCCGCATCCACAGGACCTAAGGTGCGGTGCGTAAGGGAAAAACAGCTGCATTAGAAGGGGGGTTGATCCCACGGTGTTGTCCGGACAGTTTAGCTGGCCCCTCAGAAACTTTAGGGGCAGGTGCCAAAGGCTCGGCTGCTGGTTCTGTAGCTCCCTCCTCCTCTTGATCATTCTCAGGCTCTGCAGAAGGAACCTGGGAACAGGAGTATGGGGGAGGAAACATTTCTTCTTCCAAGTTATTGGGGGGGGGTACAATTTCTTTTCCTCTTATCTTTTTGTGTGTGTGTGAAAATACTTTACAGAGGGGTTACAATTACATGGGCAAGATAATGAGTATATTTCTTATCAAGCATTGTAGTCTCCTCCTTTTTTCCCCTTCCCATCCCTTCCCATCCTCCCCCTGCCCGCCCACCCAATCCTCCCCACTCCCCATCTCCCCCCCACCCCCTGCATCAAAGTTGTAAAGTTCATTTTCGACATAAAATTGTACATCTCATTGTTGCAATGGGTCCACCTGTATCCCTAGTTAAACGATTTTTTCCCCTTCCCCTCCACAAATTATACCAACATCAAATACAGTGAAAGCAGGGTTATACTGTGGGGAAGGGACATACAAAGCAACAAAGAAATAATCTTATAAATGTGTTAGAAACAATCACATAAAAAAAAACATTTGACTACATCTCTTAGGGTTCATTTCCCTAACATCACCTTATCTGACCTTTTCTGCTTGACTCAGACATATACTAGATATTGCAAATAAGGGAAGCCATGGGACCTATGTTTCTTTGGGCCTGGCTTACTTCACTTAATATAATTTTT